GTATTTCAAATGCTGGGCTCCTTCTAGTATGTTATTAAAATTCTTTGAAGCATTGCTGCTAAACAACAGCAAATAAATATTAAAAGAACAGTATTTATTGTTTTTCAAAATCTATTGCTACTTCAGTGTGAGCCTATGTTGACCTATTTCATTTTGGAAGTCACAGCAAAATAAGTGAACATGAAAGATATTAGTAGACACAGGCAATAAAAACTGGATTGCAATTTTTTTTAGTATGCGAAGGAGACCAGGGATATGAAAACAGTGATAGTATGTGAATAAAAAGCAGACTTAAACAAAAGTCCTACAGAATTTGTAAGGGAGGATCTGGTCCTTTTTAAGGAAAGAAGCAGACCTTAAACTCTGTTTTGTGAAGATATTGTGATCCTGATATTTCTCTAAATTTATTAAACCTACTGATATCCAGTACTTTGTTCTATAAGGCAAGAAGTGAGTAGGAGAGTGAGGAAAAGGGAATATTACAGGTAAAATGAACACTAATAACAATAGTGGTAAAAGTAATAATAATGAATATACATTCATTATTAACCATGGAGCTGAAGATGCTAAAAATTTTACATGGATTATGCCATTTGATCCTCAAAGATAACCTTTTCAGGAGGCCGTCTAAGATGTCAGAGAATGATTTTAATTTAGTCTTGAAGGACGAGTTTTTCATAGTAGATAAGCCATATCTACCCTGTATTTTCTTTAACAATGAAACTAAATTCACTAAATCATGGAGAAGAGATAAACTTTTACTCATATAATCTGACCTCTGTTATGGTTGATACATTGTGTCAACTTGGGGAGTCTAGAGGTTTGGCTGAGTGACTCAGCAGGAAGCCAGGGTGCTTACTTTGTATACATCCTGAGCCTGTGGGAGAGGAGGGCATGGAGATTATGTGAGAGCTACACCCCCCTTAGGTGGGGGTAGCCTGTTTACAATGTAAGGCAGGGAAAGAAGCTGCTTGCCCCCATTCCTCCCTTTTGCTCTGGCTGTTTGCTGTTCGGCTGCCATTCCCCCCTTTGCTCTTGTTCCTTTGCTACCTTCTGCCTCGCAGCCAGCCAAGTATGGACTGAAACCTCCACAAACTGTGAGCCAAATAAACCTTTCCTTCCTTTAATTTTGGGCATTTTGTTGGGTATTTTGTCTCAGCAATGAGAAAAAAGTAACCAAGACAACCTCATATTAACAAATGTACATATGTTAACAATGGCTTATAAAAGAATAAAAGTACATAATTATTTGTTTAGGCTTATTATTTCCAGATGGATAAGCCTGACATCTAGAGATTAAACGGATTTAATTTCTTTCCCAGTCTGACACTTCTCCCACACATATGATGACCCCACTTACAATCTAAGAAGAAAGCGACGCGCCGCTTCCTGATCTCCTTATAAACATGTGCAACTCCATACAAACAAACCATCAGATCTAGTTTAGGGGGTTAGATTTATATGACTAAACATTAAAACCCAAACTGTTCACTGCACTGCAGCAAATTTCCTCTCAAATTTACCAACATGCTTTGGAACTCAAAAGATTTATTTAAGGAACTTCCAAGTTCCCAGAATAACATTAGATCTGAATGATGTGTGAAGAAACCACAAATTAATGTGCATTTCTAATTGAGTCATTATTACTGGCTTATCTGGGGTTTTGATAATTAACTCATATTTAATGCCTGATATTTGATAAGAAAAGAAGGTGATGAAAAAGAAGATGAGTTTAAAGGAAGCTGCAAAAACAGAAAGTGGTAGGGCAGGAAGAAAGTGGGCAGCGGAGACAGGGACTTGCAGAAGACATGGAAGAGACCAAGTCATAGGACCAAAGCCTGGGTGAGCCGTCCGGAGGTCTCCTCTGACCTCAAGACTGCTGAATGAAAGCTGCCACGGATTACTGAAACAGATGCCTCTCACAGCCATCCTTGCAACTGGTGACCAATGCATTCACATCTATAGCCATGTTTAGAGGAAGATCAAGATGTAAATCCTTTAGAGTCAGGAAAATGTCTTTCTATTTGCTTGGTTTCTCACTAAGCTACTCATGAGCATGTGCTTCTCGTAGTCATACAGTTAACCTGTGACTATCAATACAAAACAACAGAGATTGTAGTTTCTCAAAGCATTTTCAGTTGAATCTACAAGTGTCTTACTGTCATGTGGCTAATGATTAACTCTCCACTTTTTCTTAATGGCAGTGGTGGTGGTCCATAACTCATTATTCACTAAATAATGACAGCCTTCAAGTGTTAGACTAAGAAATAAATGTTTAATTATTGTAAAATAGCATTTTCTCATCAATGCCAACCAAAGAGTTATAGACTTCAGGCCACATGGAATAATCTAATAATAAGAGCTATTATGGGAAAATAATGTAAGTCAAGGTCAAATTTATCAAATTTATAATTTTGTAGGCTTGATTTTCTTTTTACTTTTCACATTTTAGCACACTGCATATTGGAAATTTGGAGACACACTAATTAAAAAATGTTATTCATCTGGCTAAGAATCCACGTTATTGCTCCATGTTATTAGTTTCAATCTGGGGCAATTATAACCTCTCTAACAAATGTAGGAGAGTAAGCAGAAATGTAAATATAGTAATGAGCAGATTACTATCCATTTCTAACTAAGAATCCTGCCTATAATGTGATTTCTAAACTCCCAGGAACAGGTTTAAAGGATGATTGCATCTTCTCAATGAGCTCAGGTCCTTATTATTGGAATTGGCAGGGGGCCTTGACATTTGAGTCATCATTTCATTATGTCTATTTCTTAACCCTGGTATAGGAATTAAATAGAAATACAAGCCAAATGAAATACAGGGCGAAAACTCTGAGGCAGTAAATTTAAATTGAATTAATGTTTTTCAAATCTATAAGATATAAAACAAATAGTATTGGTAATAATATATTCTGGTTAGGGCATGCTTTCAAAAATACTAACTTCAGTACTGAACACCAAAAATATGTAAAAGCTCCTAGCTAAATGCTGAACTTCCATAAAACTGAGCTAGAAGCTTCCATAGTCTCTAAATTAAAAAGCTAGAATTATTTCATTTTTAAAGCAATTACAAATGTGGACAAAAGTACACATTTTGTAAGTTTATTTCATGCTAAAATCCATCAAAATGAGCAGTAATTACTGAACATATATACATATATATGATTTTCACATGAAGATATTACTAAAATATATTTATGTGATCAAATACAAGCAATAATAATAATTGATTCAGACTAAAATATCTAATTGTCCCAAACTGAAATCCATATCTGCCATAAGTAATTTCAAATCACTGGGTTTTTATGCTATAATAAAAATGGTACTAGATGGTTTTCCTAAATCACTTAATTCAGTCATCGTGAATAAATGTGCATCACCCCATTTCTCTCAAATACTTTTAAAAAATGTTTCTATCACTCTTTTGGCTAGATTATGTGCAAAATAGTGCAAGTAGTCTTCAAAATTTCAGAGGTTAATTGATTACGAAACCAATACTACATTAAATCCTTGAAAACAGCTCTGATTCTGCTTTTAGGAAGCGACTTTTCCATTTATCCACCATTGCAAACACTCCAGAATATGTGTAGATTATAAATGTTATGGTTTAGATCTAGAATTTTCCCCCAAATTCTCATGCACTCAAAAGCAGGGCTTCTGGAAGTTGACTGTCTTATGGGAATTCTGTACTTACTAGTGTATGAGTGTGCTGCTGGGAGGGGCCCTGGGTCATGACCTGGAAGAGTATCTCCCTCCCCAGCTCCTCCCTTCTCTCTGCGCATCCTGGCAGCCATGACCCTCTGCATGCGGATCCTACCTGAGAGCCAGCTGCCCAGCGGCTGAAATCTACAGAAAGCGTGAGCCAGAATCAACGTCTACTCTTCCAAATTGTGAGGGTCCCAGCGACAAAAAAAGGGACTAAGAAATTAAGTTTTTCATTATTTCTGCAATGCTTCCTTCCTTTAGCTCACAGCCATCTGTTTATTTCTAATAGCCAGCAGCTTCCCCAAAGTACTTGAAAACAAAATGAGTAGTGAAAATGTATTCACCCAGATAGAAAATGTTGAAAAGACACTTTATTGAAAACGGAATGACCATGTATTCGAATCTCTATCCTAAAAATTGAAGTTATTTTCCTTTTAATAACTGAAGGTATATTATCAAAATTAAAAATGGTCATTGTTGAATTTGTTTTATATTTATTATTCATGTTAGCCTTTCAGACGGTCTTTTCAAAAGATTTTATCTGAGGAATAAAATGTATGCTTAAGTCCAACTAACTTAAGGTTTATTTGTAAGGTGTTTTTTCATAAGTTATTTATAATTTATAACTCAGATTTCCCAAAATAAGGTCAAAGAAATCCACAATAAAGATACACAAGCCATGCTATTCTCTCAAGGCATGAATATGCTCCAAAAGGAGTGAATCCCTATTTCAATACTGAAAACAATTATAAATGTTGAAATAGTCAACTTCCAACTTTTGAGGAATATACTGTTCTATTTATTAAGATAAACGTAGAGGATAAACCAAGTGTTCCTAGATAATGAAATTAGAAGAGGATATATTATAGTGCAGCTGGCTTTTTACCTATATTTATTCAAAGATAAGATGGTCAAGACCCACAGTGTTGAAATCAGTCTCAATATTTCTCTCATAGCTTGACTTCAATCAGTGGAAGCATTCTTGAATTTATAATATTAGATTTTCAGCGAGTCCTATCATTTTTGTAATTACTATGGGTAGTATTAATAAATGTTTTCTTTTTATGTGCTGAAATAAATTAATGAATGAGGCAGACACTATGCAAAATGGCTGGGAATAGGGCCAAATCTTTTTATATACATCCAGGGACAAGTAATCTACTAAATGGCACTTAAAGCTCTCTTGCCTAAATAATTACAAGTACAGTCAACATGTAATTTATAGAAATAATTATCCATTCTACTAGTGCCTATCACCCATCTCAACTCCATGGCTACTTACTTACCTTGTCTTTATTTTCTGTACTGGACGCCTCAGGCTTGGTCCTAATCACGAATGGAGTGGACAGTCGCAGAAGAACCCTCTCAAAAGTAGCATCGACCTTTGGAGAAACAATCTCAAAGCAGTCCTCAAACCTGAGCACTTTGTGAGTGTCACATCGGAGCTGCTTTCTCAGACCTTCCCCCAGCTGAAGGACTGACATGTTGGGGTCAAACATCAAGTGAAAAGGGAAGGCTCTGCAGAAAGTGTTGATGCTAATTCTGAGGTCCCCCGGAACTTGGGAGGTTCCCTGCGGAAGATTCTTTGTGATGTTGGTCTTTTCACATTCTTTGATCAGGAAAGTAAGACAGCTACAGTTGCCCGTGTTTGATCCATCAGAGCACAGCTTCTCATTTGCAACTTGTTCCACTTGCACATCCAGGTGATAGATCTTCTTTCCTGCAGCCTTAATCATCCCCAGCATCGCAAACCCCACGATATGGTGAGGATGAAAGTAGTGGAGCATAAGGGAACCTTCAGGAAGCTCTTTGCATAGGAAAGATGGTGACTCCAGAGTGGCCTGTTTTCCAAAAGAAGTTCTAATGTGTTCCAACAAAGCATCAAACCCATTGAAAAAGTCCTGCAGTGTGCCACCTACAGCTCGAAGAACCCTCTCGTTCTCATCAAAGCATATCTTAAAGAACTCCTCTCCAAATCTTTCTTGGATTTCCTCAAACTTCAGACCTAAAGGTAAATGAGAAGCAAATGTTAGCAACAGAATATAAGTGATTTGAGCTATACCTTTTAAAGTGTTTATCATTCTGTGTTCCCCAACTACTATATGAATTGAAACCTAGAAACAACACTACAACCAGTGTCTTTATTGCAGACAGCTGTGTGGGTGCTCATTGAAGAGAAGATTAAATGAGCCAATTTTAATAAATTTGTTCAAACTATAAAAAGTGTTTATCAGAAGTGGTAATTAACGAGTGAAGCAATAGAGCTATTTCTCTTAAGCCCATAAATTTTACTCATAGGTTAATTCATTCATTTTGAATCAGAGAAAGTAAATTTTAACTCATGTTTTGGATGCTTCTAAGATATTAACAAGAATGAATGTGTTTGCCCATTGTTTTCCAACAGATTCTAGTTTTAGACTACTTTTGGTTTCATAGTAAAATTGAATGAAGGTACAGATTCTTCCCAATATGTCCTCTGCACCCACACATGCAAAGCTTCCCCCATTATCAATATCTCCCACCAAAGCAGTATATGTATTACAATAAATAAATCTATACTGACTCATTATTACCACCTGTGAGGTGAGCATACACAAGGATTTATTCTTTATGTCTTGATACAGAGTCTCACTGTGTAGCCAGGCTGCCCTCAAATTTGTAATCCTCCTGTCCCAGCCCCCAGGTAGCTGGGATTACAGGCAGACACCATCATGTTCAGCTTAGATTTCATACCTGATGTTGTATATCATACGAGTTTTGACAAGTGTATTCATCATTATAGTATCATATGTATTAGTTTCACTACCCAAAAAATCCCTAGGCCTCTCTTATTTATCTATATCATCATCCCACCTACCAAGGCATGAGCTTTTTAAATGCTGCTAGTACAGCTAATCACTTTTCTTTTTAATCCCCTACTCTACTTGCTAAAAATATTACCAATGATAACTTTTTTTAACAGTCTCTCCAATCTTTACAGAATACCCAAAATGTCTTTATATTACATCCACATACTATCTATATTGCTATCTTACATCTTCTTGAAGTCCATTCACAAGTGTATTCATCATTATAGTATCATATGTCCAAAAAGGGGATATGCGGTACATGAGCAGGGGAGGGCATCGAACTACCATGTGGAAACAGATGCCTAATGTTAACAATCTCATGGGAAGTCATGCAGGTCAGCTAGAGCTCAGGAGAAACAGACCTAAAAGAAACTTAAAATGGTAGGACTTGGAATGATTTGTATTCATTCAGCCACAAAAAAATAAGAGCAGCCAAAAGTAAAGCACAAAATGACCAGACAGAATGTAGGTCTGTTTTATCAACATACTTATTTCCAGATGACCTGGCAAAAGGAACTCTATTTTCTAGTGCTAAAATTACAATGAAAAAAATGGATAAGTAAATGCACACAATTCATTATAATTTGAAGAAAGTTTACAGGTGATCTAGTGAGACTCACTGTTGAGAATGATCTCAGGAAAAATATAGAGGGAATTGATGCTTCAAAGAGTACAGAACACAGAGCAGAGCTGAGTTTGTATGCTAAAGGAGCTTCTTCGGTCACTGCTACTCTTCCTTTGACTTTGGCTAAAACAAGTACATGTAGTTTACATATTCACATTTTCTTGTCCAATCTATTTCGCCTTATGAGAAAATCCTGAAAAGTGGTCAGGACTGAGAAACGGCAGAAACACACATTATTAATGCTCAGTAATATAGGCTGTGTGAGATTTGTTCTGCTGTTCTTACCAATATCATTCCCTGAGTTTTCCTTCTACTCAGAAATGAGACAACAATAGAATTAAAACACGTTAAGTACATGTCAAGAGCTTACACAGGGTCTAAGAATTGTGGTAGCAAAAGTTAAGAGTCCAGTTAAGAAGTTCTTAAAATGGATGTGAAATGAAAATAGAAAACTGTTTAGAGTTTGTTATTTAAAGAATCCTTTTATTAAGACACATTGTACATTAATTGCATTTTCATAGATTTGATCTTCAAAGCTACCTGAGACAGTCGTTTATTAAGATAAAAACATTCCCATGCATTTTACATTGCCGTGTTATAAGATTGCTCTTCAATATATGTTGTATTTGCTAACATTAACATCAGCCAGAGTTGATAATAATAGAATATATCTACCCAGTTATCTAGTATGGACAGAGAAAATAAGATAGGAAATAATGTGTTGAAATTGCTTCCATAATTATTTAAATCAATATATGCTGTTGTGTCTTTATCTCACTTAACCTTGTCTGTTACTTTTCCTTTAATTTGATGCTATCATTTCTTTCTTCTAAAACTCCTATCTCTTTTAGCTTTCAAATTTATACCCTCCAGTTTGATTACTTATGTCTGAAAATTCATATTCATTTCCTTCACTGAAACTTTTTTGTAAGCCAAATCTATATATCACCATTACTAGTTATCATATTATTGTATTTGAAAATTTCTACCACAAATTAAAACTATGTCCTCATTCAATGATGGTGTGATTTGTTGCTATGAAATTTTCTAATTATGAAATTCTTATGAAAAACCAAATTCAGAATAAACATTCCTATAACCTGGATATTTTTGCTGAACTACAATACATATATCACTAAACACATTGCATGAATTTTGTCTAAACTTTGAAGAATTGTATCTTCTAAGGTGTCTATAAGTGTCTATAGCATAGACAGAAAAAAAATTACTTCTAACTGGAATTTCTCCTAACACTGAGGATGCCCTCATAGTTATAAATTAAACAACACAGATATAAAGACAATAAACTCATGTTCTATTCCCAATTGCAGTATCTTAACTAATCATCCAGAAAATATTCACTAAATAAATTCAACAGAGACCAAAAAAAAAAAAAAAAAAAAAAAAAACCTCCTCTCTGGATACAATATCCTATCAACTAGAAATTCTTGTTTCTTAAAAAAGTACCTCTCTACTTTAAGATACAATGACTGTTCATTTTCAAATGATGCCACTAAGGCCTAGAGGATGTTATCATGGATATTTAGTAACTTTTATAATAATAAAGAAAAATTGTTTTAGATAGTATTTTCCAACACTATGCATAGCAGTTATATTTAAACTGTAATATTCAATTAACTAGTAAAGATTTTTATTCCTACAATTATTAAACTGCAGATCAGAACAGAAGAAAACAATTCTTAAAGTTTGAAAAATGAAAACTAGAGAACAATCACTCCAACTTCAGCAATAGACTATGAACCAGTAGCTAAGACTTCCCTTTTAAAACTTACCTCAAAAATTAGAAGGCACAAAGTAGTTCAGCTCAGACAACTGCTGAAGTTTTGACTTCCAAATATCTGTCTATAATTGACACACAGCCTCTACTTAATGGTAAATCATTTGAAACATATAGACTTTTTATCTCCTTATTTCACAAGATGCTATGAAAGCTTGACACTTGGGTCAATAAGCATACATATCCCTAAGAGGTAGAATTTATAATAAAACTGCTCTCATTAATGGGTAAGTTAAAATTCAGGGTTTTAAATTGCTATGAATCCACCTTTCTTAAAAGATGAATAGCCTAAATGCTGCCTTTTTTAGGTCTAAATGAAATATAGTCTGTTCCTTCATGAATGGCCTATTGTCTCTCAGCAGCTACCCCACCTCACCACAGACCATGTACTTCTTAAAGATGAGGATCATGTTCTGTTGGTCCCAACATACCCACCATTAGTATAATACCTGACATAGAGAATACCATTATTTCACAGAAACAAAACATTCATCTAAGTATTTGTTTGATAAATATTATCAATCTTTTAAGGCCACAGTTGTGCTACATCTGAGGATATCAAGACAAAAAGATTTTTTTTCCTCTTGTGGCCCCTAGCAGATCATGGCAATACATTGTAATTAGGTTACCACAGGGACAGGCAGGGAAAATTCAGAAAGGGAAGAAAGAGAATGTCTGCCGCTTCTTGAGGAGATGTTTGAAGAGAGCCTTGCAGGAAAAGCAGGCTTTCGAAGACCCAGTCAGGAAGGGAAGAGCCCCCAGCAGATAATACTATATGCAGTCTGGAAGGAGAAAGGTGAGAGAGCCCAGAATGGTCAAGGAACAGAAGGTAACAGTACAGTGGCTGGCAAACAGGAGAAGGGCTGAAGAATTAATCAATCAGCAGTGGAGAACTTGGTCTTGAGATTACCAAAGCCAGAGTCAAGAACACCAGCCAGAGAGATGATGTAATTTTTTTCAAAGAGAAATGCAGTTCATTGTTTGTAGAGGTTTTAGTACATAATCAACTGGCTCCAAGACAGGGTAGCATCACAGAGGAGAAGTAGTTTGGCAGGCAGAAGGTAGGAAAGCAACAAGGGTGGGTGAACACAAGCCTCTTTACATCCCTTATTTTATATCCAGGCTACCAGGATTAGACCCACACTTAATCCTAGCACCACCCATCTATGACTGCACAAGGCTTTGTGGGGACATCTAGACCCAAACCATAATATTCTTTCCCTGGTCTCCCAAAGACTCATGTGCATTCCTCTACACAAAAGGCATTTAGTCCAGCTCTAAGAGTTGCTGAAGTCTGAGGAGTTTCAGCACTGCTCTTAGCTCTTAGCTGCAAGCCCCTATATAAATGAAAAGAAAGTTAAACACTTCCAACATACAATGGCACAAGATAAATGTTACCATTATTAATGGTACAAATAGGGGGATATAAAGAGATGGAAACAAAGCAAGTCCAAATTCCAGCAGGGCAAACATTAAGTTCTGTAGTTCCATACCCAGCATCCAAGGCAATCTGTGGCAAGATGTGAACTCCAAAAGCCTTGGGTAACTGCCCCTACAGCATTTCTTGTGGTTATAGCTCCCATAGCTTCTCTCTTGGGCCCACCCAGCTCCTTCTTCATAGTTTTCCTCACACAATCTACATTCCTAGCTTCTCCAGAATTCTGAGGTCTCCAATACATCTTGAATTTCATACTCAGAGCCTTATACCCAATGCCCTATCAGGTCTGACCTCC